TTTTTGCATAAAAGATTTGCAGATACGAGATTTTTTCTAAACCTCTGGAACATAGAAAACATTCATAAGAGTGAGTTTCTTTCCAGAAGTGAAATGAAGTTCAATTGTTCCTTTTCCCAGAACTTTGGCTGAGTTGCCGTTTCCCATCAAAACTTGTCCTTCATTTGCTGACTCTATCAGACTCTTGAAATGGCTCTTATCATTGCATACGTGAACTGTAGCGCCGGAATCGAACCACCAGTCTGGAGAAAGAGAGATATCTGTCATATTAATCTCGGCTATTATTCCAATCTGCATTTCTGATATCATGGCCACTAATTCCATTTGCTTGTCTTCCACGATATTTGCAGCATTAGACCCATTCGCACCATTAAAACCACCACCAGCATTTTGGTTTTTCAAAAACCTACAATCACGAATGTAATGGCCATTCTTACCACAATGATAACAAGCTTTAGTTTTCTTGTCAAAATTTGAGCCTTTAAAGCCAGATTTCTTGAAGCTTTTCCCTTTATTAATCTTTAGACTACTATGAGTCTGTTTGTTCTTGTTGGTATGATCTATCACATGCACATTGGAATTTATTTGAAAACCATCACGAACACGATTTTCTTCTTCAATTCTTAAATGTTTACCAAGCTTTTCCAAGGAAATCTCTTCTGTCATATGCAAAAGTTTCTTTCTGTAATCATTCCAACTTGGAGGTAATTTAGCAATAATAGCTCCAACTTGAAACGGTTCAGGAATTTTCACGTTCAAATCACTCAACTTATTAACTAGAACATGCAAGTCGTGAATTTGATCAAGAACAGTAAATGTATCAACCATTTTAAATTCAAAGTATTTCATAATAGTGAACTTATCTGTGCCGATCTTTTCAATCTTGTACTTGAATTCGAGTGCTGTCCAAATCTCCCTTGGTGACTTGATTGGAGTATACAGATCGTACAACCTATCCGAGAGAGAGTTTAAAATATGACCCCTGCAGACCAATTCATCTTCTTCACGTTTCTTTCTGCCGGTTATTAGTTGTTCCGTATCTTTTTCCGATGGTTCAGGAAATGGCTGCAAAGTTGGATCCAAAACGTAGAAAATCTTCAAGGTGGTAAGGAAAAAGGTCATCTTGTCTTGCCAACGCGTGAAATTTGTTCCATTGAAACGATCCAACTTCACAAAGTCTTGATTCATCATAGCGAAAGTTGCCGTCGAACTTGATCCTGCTTCCATTGCTAATATCTTCTTAAATTTGTTAGAATCTTTGAATAGAAACAGAATTTGTCGAACAGCTTTGAGGCGCGGAATATCGCTTTCTTTAAGAAGATATTTGCCCCCACTCAATTGAGTTTGCTATATAGGTTGCTGGCAATTCCTCTCCAGGATACAACAAAGCTGGATAAATAATCAATTAGCAATAATGATTATTTATAATTCTCTCTATAGGAAAACTATAAACTGATAGAATAAAAGTTGATATAACTATCTCAAATAAATGCAATTTATTTATAGTTATTGCAGGGATGTGAATAGAGGGTTGTACACTTTCACTAGCAGTTGCTTCTATTCAAATAGTTGCAACTGTTATCAAGAGTTGTTTCTATTTGAATAGTTGCACCACTTCATAAAACGTGTTTATATTATCAAACTATCCAACAATTCTTGGTAAGAAATTGGATCATAGAACATATCGCTAAATTACGGCTACCCCTGAGGTACGATTAAATTATGAAAAAACCCCTTATGTTTGGATAATTACAACCATCCCTTAATTATGAATTTTCTCGCACTTGCACTCTTATGGTGCCAACTTCAGCTGATTTTTTTAGATTTCGTTGAATGTTCTCTAGTTTGTACTTGTTTTGTGCAAAAAGACAATTTTTTATGTACCGCAATTTGATATTTACAAGCCAAGAGATACATCTGATGATCATCTTATTTCAAAATGTTTCAAAATGTGGAACTCGAAGGGGTAAAACGAGTACAAAGTGGACAATATTTTACATAATCTAGAAGCTTCCATTAAATTTAACACCATAGAAGTGAACGTGTAAGAAAATTCATAGTTAAAGAGAGTGGTAATTATCAAAACATAATAAGTTTTTTTCGTACCTCAGTGGTGACAGTAATTTACCCTAAAATGAATAGATGCATCAAGCGGAACTCATGCGG